GGCTTACCCCTAATTTGCTTTAGTATTACTTACATTCCCACTTATTGAGGAAAGTGTGCATCATAGCATAAATGTTTTCAGGTCAAAGCAGATCTTCGGGGCGGAGCGGAGCAAGGATCAAAGAATTTTGGCTGGAGCGGAGCTGGAGGAAAGGGATAAAAAAATTTATTCGCTCGATTGCTCATTAAAAAAAGTTAAATTTTCTTATTTTTTTGCCACTGAAAACAACCGTATTAAATAAATTTTTATTATATTTTTACTTTACAATACTGTTCATTGTAGAATACCTATCAGTCAGGGATAATTGCCACGAAAATTTAAACGGCGATAAAAAAAAGAATGACGCAGCAGAGAAATGTAAATTTTGCCGACAGTGCGGTTTCGTAAATTCTCCATATCCAGAAACGAACGGAAAGCGATTAAAATTTTCGTTCTAAACGTATCCAAAAAAAGTTCAAAAAATAGTGCGATTTTCGGTATCAGGAAATGAACAGAAAACGACTAAAATTTTCAGTAATATTCTTATCCGGAAAACGTTCGAAAGCGATGATGTTATTTGAAAGCAATAATTGTATTTTATTCATTCAAGCTGAACATTTGCGTAGTTGGCATTGGCTGAGTATGCAGAGGATCGTGTCAGCATTTCTTAGCTTTCTTTTCTGAAGGTGTCGGGTTCGAATGACGTCAGGCGTTTCTTTAGTTCTGTCTGGCCGTTGGCATCAAATACAACATATCTGTGAAGTTTCAACAGTGTGCCACCAAATTACAAAAAAAAAATTGCAGCCTGCAGAATATCTGTCGCAGCTATTTTGTAATTTTTGAAATTTTTAGATTGTTTAATTTTAGTAATTTTAGATATGTACTTCAAAATGTTAAAATTAAACGCGAAAATGCAAAAGAAATACTGTGTAAAAATCTTCCTCGCCAATATTTAATAACTTTTAAATTACTACAATCCTCTTCAGTTAAGGCGCGCGAGTAAACGTGGTATGCATGGTGTTACGGGGCGTATACGTTTCATAAACGACTACGGGTATATGAGCGCGTTTTGTTATTTTTACTTTTTTTAATATATCTTTTTAACCGACTTCCAAAAAAGGAGGAAGTTATCAGTTCGTTGGAATATTTTTTTTTTTTTGTATGTATGTTACCGCATAACTTTGGACCACGTCAAGCGATTTCGATAATTATTTTGGCATCGGAAAGTTAGTGTCTCAGAGGTAGTCCCATCCGAAACTGGTTCATCGGATCATGAGATATATATATATTTTTTTATATGAGAATTGAAGGTAGTTTGTTTTTGCTAAAAATTACTTGTTTCAGTTTTCTTTTAAATACAATTTCGCGATGGAATCTTGTTCTAAGATAAGCGTGCTACCAAAAACACTCGTAAAATTTTCTCATATACTGAAACACTCTTATAATTTATGTTCTTTATACATTTGTTGTATTTGTCTTTAATGCTGACTAAACATGGGGCAACCGTGTAGGCAACTTGATTTTCTTGCTCAATACACACGAGGCAACCGATTCGGCAACCAACACAAAATATCAAAATAATTTGATTTTCGTGCGACGATTGCAGCAACACGACTTTCAACAATGCGATATACTAGGCAATGGTCGAAGCAACATTCCCTAGTTGCTTCAACGGTTGCCTTGTGTGTAGTCAGCGTAAAGTATTATAGGATTAACTACACTTGAATAAAAAAATTAATAAGCATTAAACAAACAAGAGAAAATTAGTCAAAACTGGTCAAACTGTCGTGACCCTATGTTTTTCACGCGACTGTATGTGATTTTATAACGTTTTTCCACAAATTCTTATATCGTTGTAAATCAACGACTCTTAAATGTATGTACTACTACATACATCTACTACTTCTCTGCATTAAAAACATTTTGCTAGCAAAAAAATTATTTCTTCTTATAATTGCAGTATTTTGGAGTCCAAAAAAAGTTTAATACTGCAAAAAAAGTATAGCTACGAGTCTTATGTATAACTAAAACCACTATTAACCACTAAAAAATGTTTGGACCAGTAAACTAATATGAAAAATTATAATGTATATGAAAATATTTATCAAAAAAAGGTTTAAGCAAAAAAATCATTTTAAACCTATTTTATAAAAAAAAACTAAAATATAGGCGCGAATTATTAATACGTTTTAGTTTTAGGTTAGATGTGTAATCAATGTTTAGTTTTAAAATTTTCAGTTTAGAGCACTATATTTCCCCTTGTCTTTGTTAATTTGTATGTTTCGATGGACATATGTATGTATGTATGTATGTATAATGACTACAAAAATATGAACATAACAATTTATGTTCTTTATACATGCAAATAGAAATTATTTTACTAATTTGAGCAAAAAAAACAACACTAAACGCTGCTTAAGCACTTTTTTGTATTAATTCACACAAAACATATACGCCCCAAAAGTGTAAAAACTCTCTTGCTGTATTTGAGCTAAAATATGTTTTTTTTGTGATTATTGCTATTTGCTTTATTTAGCATTAATTGCTTTTCGCAAACAAATACCTTTACATTGTCAAAATTGCATTAACAATTTCTTGTATACGCCATCAAGTAACAACATTTTTTTTCTACTTCTTTTGCAGTTCAATCTATCACTTTGACCCATCCAATCTGCCACCTAACCAACAGCCAACATACCATCCAAATCAAGGCAACAATACCGCCAACTACGCACAACAGCAATCGCCACCACAGCAGCTGCAAGCGCAGCCACAGCAACAACAAACGCTCGATACCAATATAAAAAAGAATAAAGGTACACATCAGATATCATCACCATCACCAGTTGCATCACCGGCCACAACACCAACACCGATGCCACAGCAACAAATTCACTGTAAGAACGTGCCATGCAATGAAAGTGTTGTTACCATTCCGCTAGCTGAATCTGTATCTGAATCCTCTACCCAGACGGTGGCTATGTGCGGCGATGTAAACTGCGATGGAATTGGCATGGAAATGGCAATGAATGCCACTGAAGGTATGTGTGGCGTGTGTGTGTGTGTGTGTGTGTCGCATTGCATTCAAAATTAAATTTCCCAAAAATTCTATGTCCTTACAGAAGCGTCCACCCAATTGAGTGCTGACGAGTGCGATAACACATCTGCCACTGGTTGTCTGAGCATTACCACCACAACTTCCACCAAAAGTTATGATCGTATCGAGGTGCAGAAATTTAAAAATCAAGCAACTAGCCCTAATATTCCAGCTGAAAAGGAGGATATGTCAAAGCGTGAAGTAAGTTTTGCAATTAATTGGCCGCGTAATCAAGTATTAGTAATTTTGCTTTTCATTCTCTGCCATAGAATTTAGTAGCATCTTTAGATGCCACAAACATGCAACCAGCAGCAGCAACGCAGCCACCAGCACCACCACCACCACAAAGTCAAACGCCCACAAATAGTGTCAACGTACCATTGCAGCAGCGTGAGACACCACATTCTGCGCGCTCAACACCGTTCAGTACCAGCGAGTCAACAAGTCAACCGAAGAATCGCGCTTCCGAAGAACCTAAACCCACTACGTGGACATATACGCAAAGTTACCAGGCACCAGACGGTTCCACGGTATTTCATACCACCACAACACCCAGTGGCACACCATATTGCACTACAACATATCAGCAGGGGGTAAGGAAGAAGAAGACAGAGTTACTGTATGTTTTAGCAAATAACGAACATAATTATTTTGTATTTTGTACTTCTATTCACCAGCCTGATGGTAGCGTTTATGCCATTCCACAGGGCATGGTTTATGCCTATCCGCCGCCAGTTGTAAGCCACGCACCGCAGAAACAGTTGAAATGTCCATTCAATTCGTTGTCTGTTTTGCAGGAGGGTGAAGTGCAGAGCTATTTTATGCCTGTATTTGATCCAAATCAGCCCCGTACCGATGCCACCGGTCTCATACAAGCTGGAGCACAGGCCATATATCCGACTGCAGCTACGGCAGCGGCCGGAAGTACAGCTACAATGGTACCAGTCGCAGCCGCATATCCGACCGCACAATTTGCCACCGCCAATGGTACGCCCATCTACGCTCCTGGTCAATTGATATATTCGAGCGATCAATTTGCAGCAGCAAGTGCGGCGACAGTTGCTGCAGCAGCACCGGCGAATGGACAACTGCAACAGATACCGATGACCACCTATCCAATCGGATATCCGTATGCCTATAATGGTGAGTGAATCGATTGGGTGGAGGCAAAATGATGACGATATATGAAGAAATATAGCCTAAAAGGAAGATATTTAGAAAGAGAGACCTGGAGCTTCAAGTAAAAAAATTTAATGAAGTTTGTTGGGAAACGGGTTTAGCTGAATGTTGAGTCAGATATATGCACAATTTAAGAATGTCCATATATTTTTTTATATTTATCGATATACTTATCGACTTTTTATATTTATCGATTATTTCATCGAAAATTTCTCGACTTAGCCGGCCGTTTTATTAAAGTGGCTTTTAATTTTTGATCGACGTATCGATATCGATCATCGTTATCGATATCAGTATCAAGGTTATTAAAAATAGTATTCATATTTGCTTTAGTAAAATTAATCGTTGGAGGGCTGTCGAAGGCATAAATTGCAGTAGGAGTTAAAAGTTTAATCTATCTACTAACTTCCTAAAGAAATACAATTTTATATAGAAAAACAGTTATTTAATGTACATATATTGCTTTTATATTTTTCCTGCAGGTTACTGGAGCCAACCGATGACCTACTATGTGCCACAACAAGCGCTCACCAATGCAGTTACAGCCACTCCGCTCTTACCAGCACCGCCACAGCCACAACCCCCTACAACAGCAACCGCCCAATCTGTGGCCGGACCACACATCACTAGCGGTATAAATATCGCGAATGGCCTTGTTGCAGCCACACCGGCGGCTGGACCGTCGTCGAACACCACCGTAGGGTCATTAGGCAGTAGCAGTAGCCATCTTGGCGGCATTCATACAAGTGGAAATCACGGTGTTGGTGCATCTGCATCCACAAACAGCTATCAGACGCATAGCGGCACGACGTACTTTGGTACGGGGCGTGTTAAGCGGCCGACTTCCTCGCATTACGCCAGCCACCAAAACAGCGGCCATCAACTGGTTACGGCAGCTATCCCCAGCAACGGCAATGCAACTACCACATATCAATTAGGACACGCAGTACCCACACTTACATTGGCGCATGCACCGGGTGGTGCAGCAGCAGCAGCAGCAGCCGCCGCCGCTGCGGCAGCAGCAGCTGTGAATACATCAACTGATCTCAGCATTGGCAGCGGAGCAGCTCCAGCCACAACCATGTATACGTTGCCTCAACATGCGGCGCTCCTGCATGCGAATATATTTCCATATGCGCCCGCCGCCGCTGCCGCAGGAGCAGCTGCAGGCATTGCCGCTGGCACACCACAAGTGCACACACCTGGCGCTCCACCAACGGCGGCAGCACAATTAGCTGCCACCGGATTGACTGGCACAGCGGCTCATGCACAACAAACAAATGCTGTGATCACCCCATTCTATGCTCATCACCCGCCCATGACAGCTGCCACACATCCCTCACATGGCAGCACCGTGCATACGCCCGGGCCGGCTGCCATACCGATTGTCGATCCTAGCACGCTCACGGCCATCTCGCATGCAACACCGAGCGGTGCAAGCAGCACGAATAATGTAACGCCAGTGTACAGCGGCGGTGGTGGCGGAAGCGCTTCACAATCGGCGCCCAGCACGCCACACTCTGTACCTAATCAAACAGCACAGCGCAATCCGCCACTCTTCTCCACACCGCCTATTTTGAACTCGAATGGCGGCAGCAATAGTGGTGGCTACAGTGGCAGCTCTACACCACAGTATTACACCGTGACCAGTGGACCAGACGGCAGTACAACGCTTATGAGCAGCCCACATGGCAGCTCTTATGTGCAACACGATAAACGCAACAACAATACAAATATGGGTGGCAGCAAAAAACCACCGGCGTATCCAAGCAACTCGCTAAGTCGGCAAAATTCTACATCCTATAATGGCGCCTCAAATGGCAAACCGCCTCTACTAAGCGGCAACAATGATACGCGCGCTTCTCCCGGCAGCAGCAGCGGCGGCTATCAGGGCTCACGTCCGCATAGCATGAACAAGCGTGGTGGAGGCGATAAACCGCAGACACCGCTGCTTAGTGGTCCACCTAGCTATGGCAGCGGTCCAACCGTGTCTGCTATGAGCAGCAATAACAATAGCGGCTATCACGTGCACCACAACAACTCACCATCAGATGCCAAGCCGCCTATCCGATTGAATGCGGGAGCAGCTACCTTCCGGCAAAAGGGTAGCGGCGGAGTGGCTTATGAATTTCGACGCAGCGCTTCGCAACGTAACTCGCCAGGTACTGGGAACTCAAGTAGCAACGACAATAGCAATAATACATCACCGAACAGTATAGTCGGATCGAGTGGGGGCGGCGTCGGTGGTGGTGCGAACACACCCAATTGCTATGCCACTGGTGGCTATGTGAACACTGGCATCGGCATAGCTGGCGGCACTATGGTCGCTGGTGGTGGCGATCATCAAGCGATCGCAACAGCAACTGGCACACCATTGTACATTGCGCCAGCACGTGGCGCACACATTCCACCACAACTGCAACACGGTGGTATGGTGGCGGCCGCCGCTGCTGCTGGCGGCACGGCAGCCGGACTGGCGGGTACACAACAGGCCACCACAGCTGCAGTGTTAGGTGGCGCCGCGGCAGCAGAAGTGGCGAATGCGGCTGCAGCGGCCGTGGCGGCGACAGTGGCGCATCATCAACCGCTTTTGAGCGCTTATCAGCCAGGTGCATCGGGCGTTTACATCAAGTACGGCCAAACGTATTTTGCACACGTAAGTAGTCAACAATGAATATTAGAACGATTGAGGTCAGTGATCTAAGTTTAAACTGCCACTGAAAAACTGGCCCTTAAAGAAATGTTGCCAGCCACGTTAGAGAGCTGGTCAAGATCGGCATTAAGGAACAACATTTGAATATTTTTCCTGGCCTCATTAGACCTGCTTCGAATACATTCGCAAGCACAAATTCCAATTACAAAATTTTACACTAGAACTGTGAATACCGCCTCGGTATTCTCATCAGAAACCCACCAGGCTTGGGATCCTGATCTTTAGGAATTATATTCTTGTATTGCTCACTAACTGAGAAACTCGGTAGCCTTATGCCGTTGAATATGTTCGATCTGGATCGTTATTAAGGATTAAAGGCCAAATGCCTTTATTTTTCATTAAAAAGATTTCCGCTATTTTTTCTATTGCAACTAATAACTCTGTTAGGATTTCACATATTGGAAAAGCAATTACTAATGTATTCGCCCTCTTGTGATACTTTTAGCCCTCAGTCGCTTTACCGAACAGCCGCCGCTCACCCTCAACAGAGTTGCGACCTGCAATGGCGCCCGTCGCTGGCATGTATCCAACTGTCAATATGATGATACCAGGTTCGTTAAGATGCTTACTTTCTCACCAACAAGTCTATTAAATTTTAATTTTTATTATAGCTGCTCCACGACATACGCAAGGGCGTCATCCGAATCCCAACTACAAGGGTACGCGGCCACGTTAAATGCAGCTGTACACTGTCCAGCAGCAGTCACAAAAAATATGAAAAATCAGTGCTAACTGTGTCAAAATAACACTAAAAAAGCAACTGAACAGGAGGAATATGCAAACGATGACGCTATACCAAAACCTAAAACTAAGTTTAAGCTAAAAATACCCTAACCTAGTGAAACATATGCGTAGATAAACAATAATTTAAACAAAAGAAGAAACAAAAAAAAATAACAGAGCATATTAGTGAAAACGAAGACATAAGAGACAACAATAGAAACAAACGAGTTAGGCGGAAGCAAAGAAAATAAACAGAAATAATCAGATAACGACAATTCGTGGCAAATACCTTACCTACATACCATACATTTAGAGTTAGTTAAGTAACTGCAACAGGACATAGAAGCGAAATTTTGAAACACAAAAAAAAAATAATATTTTCCGGACCATTTTACAGAAAAAAAAATATTTGAAAAAGAAATTAAGAACATCCACAATTTTGGCATTATACAAGCAGAATCGACGAATCAGTTACGAAAATCAAATCAACCAATTGCATCCATACATATGTATGTACGTATGTAGACAGATAGAAAACCTACCTAAACTCAACAGCAATAGCCAATTTGAAAGTACAGCAATGCATCATACATACAAACTAAGAATCTTCCACAAGCATAAAGGTAAAGAAAATACGAAAAAGGAGCTCTCTCAACATATACTGAAATATGTCGTGCCATTGCTGAAAGATGCAAACATGTAAACATACAGCAAACAACAACAAAAAAAAACAACAGAAAAGCAAACGAATACAAGGTAAACACGAATCCATAAATTAAAATGACACAAATAAAAAGAGACTGACTTGAGTTGCATATTGGCAAAAAAAAATAAAAAAATGGAGTGCATAAAGGAAACGGAAATGAGTAGCGCCTAGGCTAGCTTAAAGCAATAGTGAGTTAATGATATGGAAATGCTTAAGCTGTATTGGATGAAAATTTAGTTGTGATTATAAAAATAAACATATTTTTTGTTAGTATTTGGCATTGCGCTATTACTGTTATTGAAATGCTATAATTGTAAATAAGTTTTTTTTTTATTTTTACCAACCATAAAGGTTTATATTCATGCACTTTTATAGACATGCATAACACCGCATGCCGTTATTTACAATAAATTTTTGTTACTTGCATATATTTGGCTTGCTAAGGAGGTGCTAAGCCATGATAGATACTTTGAATTATACGATGCTAAATCATGTCACAGCGACTTATTTTGTTCTGAGAAATTTTGTTCAATGTTTGTATTTTTAGTGATTATTAGTATTTTTATTAAAACTGAAATTCCAACGGATACCCATGGCTATCGCAGAAGACGTTGTAGTCCGATTTTTGTTAAATTTACGAAAATGCGAATACCAAATGCTGCGAACTTAGGTGTTTCAAGTATATGCAACGTTCGTAGCTATTAAAATTCAGTGGTAGAATTTTGGTAGATTTCACAAAAAATCGGACTACGATAAATTCAGTG